TCGAAAATAAGTTATCCATTCAGCTTCAGTTTAGATACATTTCAAATGTATTTCTGTAAAACAATGCTTTTTTTTTTCTTCAACACAGCCCCTCTGGCAAACTGGTGCAGATTGAATATGCTCTGGCAGCTGTAGCAGCCGGTGCTCCATCTGTAGGAATCAAAGGTATGTTTATATATAGATCAGTGTATTAGAAACTTCACAAACTATGATCAAATCAAAATTACATGGTTATTTTTTTAAATGGAATATCTGATGCAGAAACGCTTCTGAAAGGGCGTTTAAGTGTCATTGCCCAGACTGCTTCTCGAAGAAGACAGAAATGCATTTAAACAGGAATCAAAACGATATACTTTGATACTAGGGTGGTGGTGGGTCAGATTTGCTTATTTCTAAGGGTTTGAGAACCACAGATTTAAACTACAGTAGGCAACATTTGAAGTGGATCAAAACCTTTCATCAAAGTTGTCCTAAAACCAAAATGCGTTCTTGTCTTAGGACAACTCTGATCTTTTTTGATCCACTTCAAATGGTGACTCCTGTATATACAGTGGTAAAAGTGTTGGCCCCCTTCCTGATTTCTTATTTTTTTGCATGTTTGTCACACTTTAATGTTTCAGATCATCAAACAAATTTAAATATTACACAAAGATAATGCAAGTAAATACAAAATGCAGTTTTTAAATGATGATTTCATTTATTAAGGGAAAAAAGCTGTCCAAACCTACGTGGCCCTACATGAAAAATTTATTGCCCCCTCCTGTTAAATCATGAAAGAACTGCAATTAACCACATTATTTTAGAAAGCTGAGTTAAATTTCACTAGCCACACCCAGACCTGATTACTGCCAGACCTGTTGAATCAAGAAATCACTTAAACAGAACCTTTCTGACATATGCAAGCATGCTTAAAGAGCAACACATCATGCCACGATCTAAAGAAATTCAAGAACAGATGAGAATCAATACAGTTGACATGTATCAGTCTGGAAAGGATTATAAAGCAATTTCTAAGGCTTTGGGACTCCAGCAAACCATTGTTACAATGCAGTTCAGATCAGAAGAAAGCAGGTTTTAAATGCTCATCAGAACGAAACGCCTTCTTTGAATATCCATCAAATAGGCAAGGGAAGGGAAGGATGGTGTCTAAATCATATATATATATATATATATAGCTCTGTCCTTGTTTATTTACGTGTAGAAGAATAACATGGTAATCCTAAAGGCAGGTGCACAAAAATAAATCTTATATTAGTAAAAGGTAAATTTAAAAAAATCTACGATAATTTTTCCTTATTAAATGCTCTTACCCAGATTACTGGTTGATCCCCTTGACTGGATTTTTGTTTCCAAATGGGTATCTCCATTAATTGTAAAATGACACACACACACAAATATATATATATATATATACACACACAGTACACTAACATGGTCGTTATATATGCGTAGAGACGTTAATCAGCCTCACCAGTTTTCTTTCATTAGATATTTTAAAGACTACATACACTTCATCCAACGAACAAGTGCCCTGATCCTTGACATATTCACACATTTTCCATACATTTTACTCACTGCAGAAAAAAAAAAAATATATATATATTGTTAATTTAATAAAAATGAAGGTGCTAATGTGATATTACACTTGCCAGTAGCAGCTGGACACTGGTTTCTAGACGGAGTGATAATTATATATGTTACAATGCAGTTCAGATCAGAAGAAAGCAGGTTTTAAATGCTCATCAGAACGAAACGCCTTCTTTGAATATCCATCAAATAGGCAAGGGAAGGATGGTGTCTAAATCATATATATATATATATAGCTCTGTCCTTGTTTATTTACGTGTAGAAGAATAACATGGTAATCCTAAAGGCAGGTGCACAAAAATAAATCTTATATTAGTAAAAGGTAAGTTAAAAAAAATCTACGATAATTTTTCCTTATTAAAAAATGCTCTTACCCATATTACTGGTTGATCCCCTTGACTGGATTTTTGTTTCCAAATGGGTATCTCCATTAATTGTAAAATGACACACACACACAAATATATATATATATATATACACACACAGTACACTAACATGGTCGTTATATATGCGTAGAGACGTTAATCAGCCTCACCAGTTTTCTTTCATTAGATATTTTAAAGACTACATACACTTCATCCAACGAACAAGTGCCCTGATCCTTGACATATTCACACATTTTCCATACATTTTACTCACTGCAGAAAAAAAAAAAATATATATATATTGTTAATTTAATAAAAATGAAGGTGCTAATGTGATATTACACTTGCCAGTAGCAGCTGGACACTGGTTTCTAGACGGAGTGATAATTATATATTCAGACGGGGCGCTTTCTTCGTTCATTCTTCCCATTCACGTGTTATACTATGATGTATTTTGATTATAACGACATTATAGTATAGTACAGTATATAATGGTGTTTGTTACAGTTTATTTTGTCCGTATTCGTAAGAAACTTTGTCGTTCCGGTGTGTCAATGGAATGACGCGCGAACGGTCCTCATGTGAATTGCAAATGTAATGTGCGCAATTATCACTGTAATTATTCAACGATTTCGCTCGTTTAAAAGCACAATAAAAAACACGTTAGCGGTAGATAATGTGCAATTAGACATCTCTTTCAAACAGGCCTAAAATGGTTGATGGGTTAAACCAACCTAATTCTACATTTTCACAACAAAGATACGTTTCTCTTATTATTTACCTGTGTTAGGCTACACACTTCTGTTTAAAGTTCGGAGTCAGTAAGAGATTTTTTTTTAAAATACATATAGGCTACTTTACTTTACAGTTGCATTAAATTAATTGACAATGACCGATTACAATGATAATAAATTCTGCTTTTTTGCACATTCTATTCAAATAATCTTGACTAGAATGTTTCCACAAAAATATGAATCAGATCATAATTAGGTTATAGGCCCTAAATGTTTCAAATCAGCATAGAATTATTTCTAAAAGACCACGTGACACTGCAGACTGGAGTAGGCCTAATGACATCACAGGAATGAATTACATTTAACAAAACATTTTTATAACATTTTCATAATATTTCGCAATGTTACTGTATTATAATTAAATAAATGCAACTTTGGTGAGACTTCCTTCAAAAATCAAAAAAAAAAATCCTCGCAATTATAGCTCACAATTAGGACTTTTGGCTCAGAATCGCGAGCTTATATTCAGAACTGTGCGATTAAAAGTCGTAACTTTTCTATTTTTATCTGTAGCAGAAATAGTGGTGTGGCCTTTTATAAAGACGTAGGCCTACACACCTGATTCAGATAACATGGGTTATTCAAATTTTAACCAATTTGAATACAAAATTTGGCATATAAAAACACCGTGGCGGGGTGGTTGAAATATTAAATTAATATGTAGGGTTTGAAAGTAAGTAAACAAACAAACAATTCTACATCAGCTATTTTTAATCAGATGTTGTCTTCTTTATAACCTACTTGTTTCTCAAATCAAGCTCTAGCCTTCGCTTAGCAAACTGAATTAATTTACACTGTGGATCTATTTAATTTGGGGGGAAATTACATTCCACCACTGAACTTTGCAGTGTTGGTTACCTAATTTTGTATCAAACAAATCAGGCCCAATGTTTTAGACTAAAAAACCAAGTCAATCAACAATTAACCTCAATTCTTGTTGCAATGAATGTTTAGAGGAACAAGAAACCGCCCAGCCA